TAGGCTATCGTGTCCTTGGAGTAATAAACCGACGCCAAATCCGGCCAAAACAGTACTGAGACGTCGTGTTTGCGGATCATGGGTAACAGACGCTTGTTTGAACACTCACGCACTTAAACATCGGTTGTCACGAGGGGGAAGACTCTATCTACGCTGCAGGAAAAATTGTGTTGTGCTGTGGCTAGCTGCTCGCACGCGCAGTAGATAGAAAGAAGATTGATGACAATTCTGAAGATTTCCTGCAAAAAGAGGATGCGATATGCAAGTAGATGCGAGAAATGCAAGAAGATTTTTCGAAGATTGATTCGCTAGTGTGAGATTTTTTGAGCATCTAAAATTAAGATTTAGATGTGTCACCCCCCTCGGGTTGTCATTGTCTCCGTTGTCACAAACTGTTTGGAAAGCATACCACACTCACAAATGGCTTGCCCATAGCATTTTTACCGATTTTTTATCGGAAAAAATTGACTTCGCGTCATCAACACTTCGGCCATTACGAACGGTGTAGTACTGATCGCTAGGAAGAGTTTTATAATCAAATTTAACGTATGATTCAACGTCCATAATGTCGACTACCGATTTTCCGCACAGCAACTGGTCGTATAAACCTTTTTGATGTTTAATAATCTTTCTCTATCTAGCATACTAGGATGAATGAACGGATTGTTTTCCCACTAATATGTTTCCCTCTTGCTCGTACTCGTTCAATTAAAATGGTGTAGTAGTAAGCGCCGATTATACAAAAAGCTCTATAACTTCAGAGCAGGGTGGCCAGACCTACCGATTTATCGGTAGTCCTACCGATTTTCGATTTGCCTACCGATTCACAGACAAAAGGTTAAAAACTACCGATTTTTCACTTTTTCCTACCGAGAATCACAGATTTTTAGTAAGCTTGAAAAATATTCAATACCTATGTGTTGTTTTCCTTGTAGTCAGAATTAGCATTAGAATTAGAAATATTGATTTCGACACGTTTAAAGCAGAAGAACTGAGAGACAGTCACAATGATTCAGCGTGATAATCAGCTGTTTAAACGGCATCTGAAATAAGCAGGGATATTCGAGAGTCGTGCTTAGACATTCTGGGACACCCTATATTCACTTATTCACCTTTATGTAAATCCGACCTGAATGATTAATTATTGTGTGCTAGATCGAGAAAGTGCGAATAAACGTCAAAAAACTAAATGACAATCGCTGCACTACACGCTAATTTCAACGCGTTCAAGATGCATTTTACCTAAAAGGTGCTACGGATTTTTCATCGGCGTGACATAAATTTATTCGGTGGCGTGGAAGATTTTACTTCGGTGGCGCGCCGGCTTAATTTCATCGGGGGCGGTGGCGAATGAAAATCGTTGGCAGCGGCGGCGTGGCGCGGCAGCGCACAGGTCTACTCTACGGGGCTTACCATGGCTTACCGAGGCTTACCGACTCATTACGGCTACCACCCTACGAGCACCGCTGTGCGCTGCTTGGTATTGAACCGCTAGTGGATAGACGCAAGTTCAGCCAAGCTATCTTAGGAGCCAAAATTTTACGCTCCGAAATAGACTGCCCTGCATTGCTGAGTCAGCTCAACATCTACTCCCCTCAACGAGTGCTGCGATCTAGACAGCTATTGCGCCAGCCAACGAGACGAACACAGTACGGATCCAACAATCGTATCGATTCGATAAGTCGAAGACTTCAAGACAATTACAGCTTCTTTGACTTCAATATCTCTACCAACGTCTTTCGAAACCGCCTACGGAATCGACCAGAATGATTTTGTTTTTTAATGTACAACGTGTTAAAGTTTTTTTTAGATAAGTTTTATTAATTAAGACCACGATGTCAGATGGATTTATACAATAAATACAAATACAAATACAAATACAAATCTGGCATACTTGTCAGAAAATAGGTGGCAGATTTCATGATGGCCTGGAAAATCTTTCCTGACCAAGTAACACTTTTGGTCTTATGAGTGTTATGTAGAATTCCGCGAAAAAACTTTCAATGTTACTTTGCTGATGAATATCTCCAGGATTTGTTAGGTACAAGGTTCGATGAATTGACCGGTTTTCTAATATTTTGTTCAAGAAAAGCTTTATGTGAGGTAATTAATCCAAAACTAAGATCAGAAAAAAATACGCATTTTAAACCATGTACAACTGCTATTGTTTCGCGCTATATGCATTCCAGAAGAAAATTGATCTAGGGGAAATGACGGCTTCGGCATGACAGACTATTTTCGGCAACCCAAATTGAAACACTATTTTCACTGGATTTTCTTACGAAAACACTTCGCTGAATGCATGCAAACGATTCTTTATGCTTTCAGCTTCAATTTGACTATATTTTTACCACTAAGAAAAAGAAATCTAGCAGGGTTTTCTTGAAATGAAACACACGTACTACAAATTGTAGCTGATTTCGATAATAGAACAGCAGATTTACATGCAGTTCAAATGGAACGGTTGCCGAAGAAAAACTGGTTGCCGACAATACTCGCTCTCACTAGAGAAGATTGGAGCTTTTAAAAGCGTTTCAAAACAGTTTTTGACAATTCTTTCGACTGAAATTGTTAGAGCAGCTGGCAGCAAAAGATTGTAAACAAACCAATACTGCATATGTGTGCGTTCTATAGAGGAAAAGGCTATAGAAAGAAGGTCGCTGCTTAGGTTGCCGAGAATACGTAAATTCCCCTATTACAATCCGCCTTTCAGTAAAACTTTCCGACGCTTACAAGTACTCCGAGAAGTGCCATTGCCGCATTATTTTCTCGCATTTTCGCATGATCGCGGAGAGCGAAAAAAAATGTTAAGTGATCGAGCGGTGACTGAACAGAAACACATTTGTATTCCTATGATATCATCTCCCAAGATATTGCACTCGGTTGTTGCTTCTGCTGCCGTCAGTATAACAGACCTCCGTCGCAATCATCATTATCACCGTCATCATTGTCATAATTTGCAATTGGTGATTATCCATCCACTACATGCCTTGGTTGCCACTATTCGATGCTAACAACAGAGTTGTGACTTTTCGGGCAATCAGGATCTCTTCTTTCGAACCGCTGTGGCAGAATCCCAGAACCGATTCTCGAAACAAAGACATTGATCGCCCACCCACTCGATTTTCCCATAGTCTCCAATCGCTACCGACGACTCCATGTGTTCTAGGAGAGATCGTGTGGGAAATCAGCACAAGCTATAGAACCGACCAGAACAAGTAGAAAACCATCCATCATACCCGAATCGAAAACACACCGGGCTATGGAATTTGATTTCGCTCCATATGGAGGGTGCTGGCGCGATTTTCTCGTGAAATTCCACCAAGCCAGCAGCCGCGCAAATTAGTTTCCCCCTCCGCCCGCTTGGTGGGTAGGCTGTGAAGATGGAGGTGGGTTGTTGATCTGATACTACTGGTTGCCGTTTGGTGGTACCGATGGAAACAAGTGCAAGTTCGCGACTTGTGGAATTTGATATTTGCTGCGCGCACCCGGTGCTACGGCTACGAGCACACATTTATGATCGACTCGATCGCGGGGCGGACGGAGATAGATCACCGGCATCGGCCCGATATCTGGGTTGTGTTGCATATGTGCGATACCACCGGGGAAAAGTCGACTTCATTCATAACGGCTGCGACAACAACACGACGTGTGCATGGTGGTGAGCTAAGTGGTAAGTGCAATGGAAAGTGGTTCACATTGCCATAAGCGTTAATGAAATGTGGGATGAACGAGGAGGGAGAGCGATGGTGGTTTCTGTGGCCCTGGCAAGGCGAACCGGTTGTTGACTGTCCTGGGGCTGCAGAAAGTGACAGATCATAGATTTTTTTTTCTCGTGGCAACGAGAGCAGCAAAAAAAGAGTAGTGAAAGGAGGTATTTGCATTCATACGACGACTAATGATATTGATATTGACACTCGATTAGTTAGATTGAGCTGCCGTTTTGTATCACAGCCGGTTTTGCATGATTGAAGGCTAAATTTGCTGAAGGTGGTTTTTCCAAAATATGATTTTCTGGCCACCAACAGTTTTTTAGAACGCCTGGTGTTTAGAAAGTTATTTTTACATTTTTAGAACAAACAAAGTTGAGCTTTAACTAGTAACCAATTTTTCACTAGTACCCAAAACTATATATACATGGATATTTAACAGATTACACATTGTTCTATGAACAATTTAAGAGCAAGAGATTTTTATGATGGGCCAAATCTTAGATCCATAGGCCTACATTAAAGCCATTTCTCCTATATCTGAACAAAAACAATGGGATACATCAGTGATCAGAAACGGATCAATTCGGAAGGAACATAAATCAATTTTGTCTTATGATTTCCTAAAAATATATAACATATGATTTTTTTTAATATTGTTTCAGGTAAGATCACCACGACATCCTTTATTGTTATCATTCGTGAACAGGTAAATAGATTATCTTAGACTCAATTGAAAAAAAATTGCTTGAAGGTAATTTCGAAGCACAACATCGTCGCCGCAATGTTTTCGTCGCCAGTTTTAGGGTTAATTTGTTTAAACACGAATACTTGAAACATTCATGAGTCAAGCTGCAATGATGCATTAACGCTTAAATTTGATAAAACACTACTGCTGGAAACGAAACGGCGCTTATCCTTACTGCAACATTAATCATAGTTTGTTTTCGTTAGTCAGCGGTTTATTATAAGAATATAATCACTTTCTTCATTATGCAAAGTAGTTACTCACTAGTCAGCATTTCTCACATCACTCGTTGCTCATTCGCAGTCGATACCAGCCAACACTCTCAATCCGTCAGTAAATATCGATCGCTTTCGCACTTACTTACTGCCTGCCGTCAAACCTGCTGAACCACACGAGTCATCATCGTCGTCAGCTCCGCCATCAACACCGTCGTCATCATCATCATCATCATCATCATCGACTACACCGGTCCTCTTTTTTTTCCGCTGAGTAGCTGCTGCACTGTCTGGGAGTAAGTCGGTGGAGTGAGAACTGAACCGCGTTCAGTAACAGCCAGTACGTACGGTTAGTCGCGCGCGATTTTAAACGGCTCTGTTCACAAAGCTCGGTAGTGTTTATTTTCTGAATATCTCCTGAATCTTGCTCCGTTCCCCCTGATCGTCATCGTCGCCAGGCGTTCGTTGGTCAGCCGCCACCCACTCAGTCGTGTGCATTAATTAATCCTATCCTTGGTAGCTGCAGCTCCGTTTCTGACTGCGCGGTGCACTACACTGCTCGTCATTATCGGTGCACTTGTCTGATTGAAGTGCAATTGTGCAGTGTTTTTTTTTTTATTAGTTTGTGTGTAATTGATGCACCCACAGGAAGCGGTGTCCTTCAACCTAGATCGTAAAGACCCGTTTGGGCGTGTTGTAAGCGGATCTTGCCGATGACGCTTGGTCTGATCGCTTGTTATCGCGTGTGTTACATTCCTCGCGCATATGGTGTGAAGGCATCCGTTTTCTTCGAAGCAGAAAATAAGCGCGACGTGATATCCAGAGTGTTTGGTTGATGACGTCATTTTTAAGAGTTTTGTTCGATTTTTTCGACTGTGATTTTCAGGTTTTATTTTAGCCTCTTGGTATGTGTGATGTGTTTTATTTTCGAATAAAATTTGCATGTTGGGTTGAAGATTGTTTCCAAAAGAAATCGAGATCGTAAAGTTTTTGTAAAAGTGATGAAAATGATCACCGATCGAAGCTAGTGAGTGAGAATAAATTTTGGAAAATATCTCAAATCAAAGTGGTAGAATAAAAAGTCGTGCAAAGGAGACAAATCAACGGTAACACCCACACCCAAACGGAGCGTTACCCACGTATAAATATCGAGAGTAGATCGAGAACATCGCTGACGGGGGCAGATCGCTCCACGCGCACCTCTCGAGCTACCAGCTTAGTAAATATAAGCAGAACACACCGAGCAGCACCCAAGGTGATCGTGCTGATCGAAATTATAAAATTGGACCACAGAAGATCCGACCTGTAGAAAGCACACACATGTAAGTCGATTGCAGCAATTCTTTCACCGCCGGTGCCGGCATTGGTGGTGTGATGATGCTACCGGTGCATTTTGAAGAAAACTGATCGATTTTCCACATCTTAACGGATTTTCCGTTCGGAGTTTCTTTACATCATTTGCTATTTTTTCCTCGCAGTCTATATTGGGTCGGAAAATCGAACGTTACTGCCGGTAGAGTGACGAACGGCTTCACCGCCCCGAGACCCTATTCCAAGCATGGGGTAAACAATAGCTTACAACGCTAATTTTTTGCAGTATGATGCTTCACATCGTAGAGCATTTCTGAATAATTTTCTTTATAAAAAAAAAAGTGCTTGGAATAGGGTATCGGGGTCGCTGAAGTCGCTCTCCACCGAAACATACGAGATTTTCCATAAAGCGCAAGCTGTTAAGCGTTTGGCGCGTTTCCGGTGTACGGCATTCACGTTATTAGTGAGACATCCATGTTAGAAGTATTTCATTTTTGCATAACCACCTACTAACAATAAAATTTGTAGGCAAAGAATATTTCATTTGGAAAAAAAAAACCATTGCATTTTGCAACTTTTACTCAATCTCGACCATGCATCTTCATCGAATACTGAAGAATCCTGGAGTGAATTCCTGGTCGTTTCTTCAGAGATTCTCTGGGTACCACTGAATAGAAAAGAGAAATAGAGATGCGCGAGAGTTTGGGTCTTGTCCATTTACGGTTATGCTGTTTTCACTCTCTCTTCAGTGAATGGAAGGGCAGCGTAATTGTGCTACCATGTCACTTCAGAGCGCCAAGGAGCACTACCGTTGACGTCACGTTACTCAGGTATTCGTTTGTGTATAAACAAAAGATGCTGTGCACGTCTAGAAGTACATTTATTTAAAATAATTATTGTAAAACCAAATTCAATGTCATATAACTAAGAAATCCAAAAAAGAAGTACGAATGCATTTGGTCTTCCGGGTCTGAAATTGGCCAAATTTGTGCTTCGTCATTTGTGTACGCTTTATTAGATGCGATAAACGTATCTACAGAACTACAAGGGACAGCCTTATGGGGTTGTACGCAATGGTGACGTAGGGCTACGTGATCTTATATAATAAATCTTATTTGTTAACTGCAGCAGGAGCTAATAATAGGAATAGGAATTTAAGCGGGGTTCTCTCTGATTATACTCTTTAGTATGACGCGTTTGACATAGATGGCTCAAAGCGACTCATGAAGCGCTACTGATTCCGATCAATAGCTGTGCGGCTTCTTCCACCTTCTATGGATGCTCATGTGGGCTGCATCTCGCTGCTTGCAGACAGCCTTTCGTTGTGTACTGGAGAACACTGCACTCACCACGCGGTGATTGAATAAACACCGTTTGGTGAGACCGGATGGAATTCAACTTAGAAATCTGTGTTAGGGAAATCGCTTTTCGCAATCGGTGATAATTTTAATTATCAAAGCAACAGTTGCACATCCGTGCAATTTTCAATAGTGACATTTTGTAAAAATGATAAAGTTTTAAATTTAACAAATGTGTAGAAATATACCTGATCGATTGGCGAAATCTTTCATAATTTTGTTACATGTTCCATTTTCGGTTTTCCCAAAGTGTACCCAAAGTGTACAAAACGATGAACAATTATAGCGGGCTTAAATATAAATTACTCAGCTCACTCAGAAACTTCTTTATTTTATGGCTGATCTCAAAGGTGGATGTACTCGGAAGGAAATAGATCTACATTTTGTGTTGACCATTGTTTGCATTCCTTACAGTTCAGCTTCGAACCTGTTCGGATACGGTTGTGTATAAGTTTATTTCTGTTTTGTGCGTGCGTTCGCTGATTTTGCCAGATTAGCGCTGGCACTCTGCCTCCCGGACGGTTATACGTGTGTGATTGGTGGTTTTCTCGCTTTCCGAGAAGTTTTGGAATCGAAAAAGAAAACGTGATGCATCATGTTTGCAGGCATCAGAAGAAGTGTCGCTATCTGCGTTGTTTGTTTTTTTTCTTCGCTTGTGCTCCCGGTACAGAAATTTGTGGCGTCGCGTGTGATAGTTTTTGATTTCAGTTTGTTTACGCGTTATGATTTTGTGAGCGGTCGCTTCGTGTTCGCGTCATGGAGCAATCGACTACATTCGACCAGAGGATTGATCCCCGTAGGGCGGGTCTATGATCGGAGCTACTACACCAAGCGTGACATAGCTGCTTGCAAGGGATTCAGTTGGACTGATTTGGTGAGATTGTTCCATTTTTCTACTTTTGTCTATTTAAACTTAATTTCTATGAATGCGTATCGTTTGGAATCATTTGATTCGGATGAGACTCTTAACTTTTATTTGTTTACATTGTGTTTCAATTGGTATTCTTAAGAACTTCATAAAATAAGGTTTCAATATTTAAATTGAGCAGATCGACTAGCCTGGTGGCTGCCGCTTTTGCTTACTGAGTAGAAGACCGTCGGGGATCCACATTGTAAAGATTCCCTATTTTCAGCTTTTTTACAGGCTGGAGTTGTTGTTTGAACCATTTAGTTTATCAATTTAATTTATCTGTATAACAATTATTCACAAGCATTCTTCCAGGTCAATTCAAGAATAGTTTGATGATGATAAATCTTCCTAATATTCACATTACAGTTATGACCCGATCCTGTCAATCTCTCCGCGCATCAGACTGTTATTTTTCAATAATTCCACATAATTGTAATTTCATACCTTCCTCCTTCAAGATGAATGTTTAAGATACGCATACTTTGCTAGCTGACAAAATGGGGTCATTGCTGTATAATTATTCTCTTTTTGCAGCCTTCATTCAGACTGGATCTATTGATTTAAATTATTTGAGTTTTCTTCCAGCTCTTTGATGACGGAACATCACTAGATTTATACTGTAATGATTCACTCTTACAGCTTTCACCCTGGTTTTGTCTGTTGATTTGATTTGTTTGAATTGGTTTTCAGCTCTTTGGTGTTGGCAGTCGCGGGCGATCAATTTTGCTCATGCTCATGCTCTATGTTCATTTTCAGCATTTCGATGATGGAACGTCTTCAGATTTATATTATAAGGGGGCTTATTACGGATGTCACATCACGGTGAAAAGTTGTCACTTGTCGTCACGGTGAAGTGATTCACATTTGATTTGTACGGTAATCACGGCTCTTATTCTGAGTATCACTTTCTTATCACCGTGTAGTGACACCCGTAATAAGGCCCAATGATACACCATTTGGTTTTGGCTTCGGGCAAATCCAAGTATAATGCATGATAACACTGATTCATTTAAAACCATGGTCGCATCACTTATCAAGGTGAATCCTGATCCAACGAACCCAACTTACTAACAAAATCTCCTTTTCTGTGTCTTTTGTTGGAAATTTCAGGGTTACATCTTCCTTATTGGGAGCTGAGGAGACATAGAGCTGCATCATATTGTATGTAAAATAATTATTATTTTCATTGCGGAATACCAGTTTTTTTATCCATATAAATGTATTTTCATTATTACGTATTTTAATGTTCTGATATATTTCATTTCTCCATTACATATGTTTACTATATATATAAATAAATACTGGCTTGGGAGGGAGCATCAGGGTATCATTTGACCTGAAACTGGACGATTGGAGTGGTATGACAACCGGAGTCTAGGAGGGAATAAACACTATCATTTTCTTTATCCTACCGATTCGATTGTGATGGTGTGAATTCTACTCCAACAGTTTCAGTGAGATTGACGCGCCCTTCTTAACAAACCATCCTGTAGGAAGCTTAATAAGTATTGCGAATTGCGTTATTCGATTTGTTGGATCGTATCGTTGGAAGGAGATTCTTAAATTCCCGTGGATTTCGCGTAAGTGTCTCTGCTTACGGGTCCACCCCACCGTTTTTGGCCCTTCATACAGCGATATTGTGAATTCAGATCGGTAGCTCAAATTGATCTTGCTATTAAGTGGAGCTGCATACAAGACAAGATCTTCGAAGGGATGGTGGCTACCTTACATACATACATACATACCATTGTTTGCATTCCTTACTCTCAGCAAAACTTACAAGGGAACAGAAATAGTCCACAGACTGCACACTTACTTGCATCAACTTGCAGTGAGCCTGTTACTGTACTTTCTGCTGCATTTCTTTACTGCTAAAAATTACAGTGAATTTGGAAAATAATAAATATGAGAAAAACATATTATTTATACATGGAAGCATCATTTAAAATACCTCACCTAAGTGAAGCAGTGCAGTGCTCTTCAGTGGTTTCTCAGGCGCTCCAACTCTCGAACAGAAGTTTCACCCCAGTGATCAGTTTATCCCCGGTTTACGGTAACATTTTAACTGGTTTGTATGTAGGGTATCTACTCATTTTGCTAAATAAAATTTGCAGAGTTTTTCGGGTTTTTACAGAACTTCTCGGATAATTTCCATGTTTAATTTCAAAGTTCGGCATTTCAAACATTTTTGATAGTGCGAAACTTGAAAAATTATTATGTTCCCTAATCTTCTCTCTAATTTCCCCCTCCATGTCCGGAATATTTAATTTTAAATAAAGCACCCTGAACCTTGATGTTTTTTTTTTCTAAATACAGGATCATATGATTTTCAATGCATGAAATCTTAAAAAATCTAAGCCCATAGTTGCGACTATAGAGGGTCTAGTATAAAAGAGGAGCGGATTCAAAACAAACTACCTTGGCAACCTATGCCTATGTGATTTCTAGCAGCACTGCTAATGCAATCAATATAGGCGCTGCTCGATTGGCTCTGGCTTTGACAGTTCATTTGGCTCAAAACCAGCTCTCTAGTTGCGACCTATCACAATCAGGGCGTCACAATATCAGCTTCAATCGACCACATCGATGCGACGAAGAGACTGCTGGCTTTATTTTTCTGTTAAAGTCGAACAGCTTCGCAGCATTCTAGAACCTCAGTCGGCGTGCACAAACAAATGGTCAATCGCTTGTCTCTCTTTCTCCCGTCGCTCCATTGGTCTTCCTTTCAAGCTTCGGTGAAACG